ATATTCTGTGTCTGTCTTTCTCACCCTGCCTGCATTGCCCTGCTCCAAAGGCTTTTGTTTTTTCTTGGAATTCTGAAATTTCTCCTTTTCTATTTTATGCAGGTCTTGGAATTGAGTTCTATAGCAACAGAAAGTGCTTTTGCAGTGATAAAAATATATTTTCTACATTCATGAATTCATAAATTTTAAGAGCAAAAGGAACCATTACATTCATCCAGCCTGAGGCATTGATAGATTTACTGCAGAGGAGCTAATGGACCAGAGCACAGTCCCTTTGAGATGACAGGAGAGAATTTGTGCAGCTTTTTTGCCTCCCTCCTCATCATCATCATGAGGGCAGCCACCTCAGAGCTGCCTTGTTCAACACAGACTCTGCCTCTAGTCCAGCTTGAAAGAACATTTCTTTAAACACATTTTAGAGAATGCCAGGCTGTTTTCCCAAGCACTCAGAGAAAGCAGAAGTCAGCACACCCCCATAACCCCAGAGCACCTCGACCACCTCTCCTTGACCCATTTGGTCTCCCAGCAGCACCAGACCCCCAAGGCAACAGTAGCTGCTGTCCCTGTGCTCAGGCTTTGTTCTTTACCTGCACAGTTCTCTCGTTGGGACGTGAAACACTTGCCCCTGGGACTCAGCTTACTGCCTCATAAAGCAGGATGGCAGGATTATTAATGTGGCAGAACTGTAGGGTTTTCCAAGCAATTTATGAGTTGCCATGGCAGTTCATTAGCTCTCAGCCCAATGACCCTTTCCTGATGAGCATAAATCAAGCAGGAGGCACGCACACATCTAAATGTATGACAGATATCCACATCAAAAACACAACTGAGACCATATTTCCTCCATTTTGTTCAGCACACATCCAACCACAGCACTAAAAGGTCACCAGTTATCAGGACTGATAACCAGCCCACTGAAACACATCTAGACACAAAGAAAATTACAATCTCCCTTTTATTTTTCTTTTATTCTTATCAAGCCATTTCTGATGGATGACTGCATTTAAAGAACAGCAGGTCCTTAGCAGAGGGACTGCATGGACTGCACAGGGAGGCAGGTCTGGCGGTGGGGACACTCTGAATGTCTCCCTTGACTTTCAGTGCTCAGAAAAAGGTTTCACTTTACACACAGACAAGCCTCACATCCTCACTCAAGGAAGGCTTTGAGAAAATATTTAACTTTCATGGTAATTATCCATAGGTCTTAAAATAAAGCACACACTTCAATGCTTCCTTGAGTCCAAGTGGCACTGTGTGTGTAAAAAAATTCCACAGGTTTTCATGCAGTGCTCAGTTAAGACTTCATCACAGGCCAAAAAAGCTAATCTAGCAAACTAGAGAGGAAAGAGATATAGATAATTAAAGGGAACCTTTGAAGTTAATAACTGGACAATTAAGAAAATGAAAAGATTGTGAGCACAGTAAGTTTTATCAGTACGTACAAAACCACCATCAAGCGACTCTCAAATATTACAAAAAAATACAATGTTTTATACCAAAGAAAGACAGAGACAAAGGAAGATGTTTGGGGGAAGAGGAAACAAGGAGAGAAAGATTTCTAGTAAGTCTTTATTGCATTCTTTTTCTCAGTTGCATTAATGCTTTTTTATTTTCTTTTCTTCTCTAAGACTTTCAGGGTATTTTAAAGAAAAGGCAGAGCTAAAATTTTTATATCTGACTCTATTGCAGCGCCACACTCAGAACTCAACCTCACCATGCCTTATGAGCTTCCCAGAATGAACTTGCCTTTTCCTTTTGAAAAATAATTAATGCATTTATTAGTGCAATAATGGGACCCACATACTGGAAAATCCCACTTTCCATACCATTCCATTAGCTAAGTCTGGCTTTGGGCCAAATTTTTGTATTTCAGCTCCTGCCAAGGTTCAGGTTTGGAATGTTTTTACGTTGGAGGATTTTTCATGTTTCCTTGGCTGGGCTAATGGGACGCTAATGCACATGAGAGATCTCTATCACACCAGGCTGCTGGGTACTTTTTCCCTTCAATCATCTCATACATACACATGAATTGGTGGCATTTCCCTCTCAGCTGAATGATGCCAGCAGGCCCTGAACCCACGGTGCAAAGGGGTATAATTTGATATGGAGAACTGCTGACTTGAGACATTCCCACTGGCTGGAGTAATTACAACCAATATTTTAAAAATATACAGCAGGGCAAAAGTTAGATGACACCTTAGTTTAAGAACAGATTCACCAGCAGAACTGTGTGTGTCTGGCAGGAATTCTAATGTCCAATAAAACATGGAAACTGGAGGAATTAATCTTCAAGAAATATGGATATGGCTTAAAGAAAGCAAAGCTGTTGCCTCATCCATGCACCTCTTGGAGATCTGGAATAGGGCCCAGGTCCTGCTTTCAGGCTAGAGAACAGTGTGGACATGATGATGTGAGAGACCTTGCAGATGTTCTCCTGCCAGGACTGGGAGATAAGACACCTCACCAGCTCTTCACTAGGCCTTGGTCTACATAAACACTACCAATCTGTCACAGGGTCCGTCTCAGCTGTGATTTCTCCTAACAGCTCATGAGCTTTTAGTTAATATTACCTTTTGTCACCTCATAAATTACTTACTCAGCAGACTTTTTTTCATGAGTTGCTATCAGAAGAAAACAGAAGGACTCTTTCCAGTCCTTCCCATGCTTTAGCACCAGAAGCAGAGCTCAGCTCCTCTGTCCCCAGTCACTGAAGTTCCTCACTAAGGAAATGTCTGCATGAAGACTCTCCCTCCCACAGCCAGGTCCATCGCTGTTCTTGCTCTCCACCTCTTCTGAAGCAGCACAGCAGCACTGGCCAAGGACACATGGCAGTCTTCCCACAAGTAAGACAAGTAACACATGGCAGGGCATTTCTGCCACAGTCTGGCAGGCAGGGAGTGACAGAGGGGAGCAGACTGACTGCACTGACTGATCACAGAGAGTGATGGGGTCATGTACTTGAAGCAGCAACAACAAGGGTTGAAGCGATGCTCAGAGAAACCCATTTGTAAACCCATCACATTTCCTAAGCTGTGCCAGGGTCACTGCATCTGTCACTGATCTCCAGGATACAGAAGCAAGAGAAAGAGGGTTTCCAAGTGCAAGAGTTGTGAAACAGGGATATGTATAGAGATACAGGCAATAGGGAAGTGCAGTCATGCACATTTGTCCCAGCCTTTCACTCCCACAGTTTTGGTGAAAGTAGGAGAGTGCTATAATGGGTACAGCTTTATGGAAACCTGAAACAAAGAGACAGCCAGCAGGAGGTTTTCTACACTGGTATAATTCTCTAGGTCATAAGAATACCAAATTATTTGGTTTTATCATTTCTTCTAAAGAATTCCAGGATTTAGTTCTGTCTGGCAGAAGTACATGGAACTGGAATTTGATTTCTTGTTTATTTCATTTTCACATGTTGAAGGACTTTGCTATTTGAGGAGAGAAATATGTGTCTGTTGATCACAAAATCCAGTTCAGAGACATGTCTGAGATCATGGTTTTGAAAAGGAGCCATGGCCACCTTCAAAGGATGAGACAGATTTTACCCACAGAAAAGCAAAACATGCCATTTTGTGCTCTCAAGCGTGACTCATTTCCTGATGCAGTTAGGCTTGGACTAGAGAGTTAAGGCCAGATTAAGAGATCATTAGTGCCTTTTGTAGTGGACTTTGAGACTAGGGCCACAATTCTAGAATAAGACCCTGGAGGCCTTTGATGGAGAAATCCCCTTGGAAATACATCATGGGGCTCTGTTTGTTTTCCCTGGATTTTTGTGGAATGGAGCTCCTGTTTTTCCTTCTGCATTGCCTTCATTTCTGTCAAATCCCCACGAGGATAAGGTTCTCCCCAGTCTTTTTATGAGAAAAGTGATACAAAAACATCACCTTCCTGACTAGAAAATTCACAGGGCTTTGCATGGATAGTCTTGCTACTTCTTGCCGAATCAACTTCAAACAAAACCCAACCTTCCTGCCACTCCTGCCAAATGAAACAACAGCCAGACGAGCTGAGAGCCTGATGCTCCTGCATCAATGCTTCTGCTCCTCAGGGTGCTGCACATCCACCATGCTGTAGCCACTACACAAAATGTTATAGTGACTCCATCTCAGATGCTTTCTGTCTCACTCAGCATGCTGCAGTTACAGACAGAGTGACCCACAGACCCATTGTCTGCATGTCTGCATGTCCCACTGTCTGCTCAGCACACTCAGTACAGCACCAACATTTGCACTTCCAGATGGATGCAGAAGGGAACACAGAGAGGTATACTGAGCTGATCCTAGCAACAACTATGCAAGCAAAACCCTGAAGGAAATATTTTCAAATATGTCAGCTACAAACGACCAAAATGTCATCACAGTAAGAAGACAGATGTTGTTTTTATACTTCAGGGCTCAGACAGGAACAACTTTTCTCTGTTGCAAAATAAGATGACTAATTAGGTAAGAGCACAGTGTCTGCTCAATGCTATGACTTAAGGTTCCAACTGAGAGCACCAACTGTTTATTTCTTTTTTTAATAACAGCATTTTGTTAGAAAAAAAATTATTGCAATGTTTACCTGAAGATTTTGGGAGCTATTTTCTACTAATGCGGTGGATGAGTATGGTTTGGTAAATCACCTGATTCTATGGTACAAAATGAAATAAATACAGAATAAAGTAATCCTACTGACAACCACAGCTTTGCTTCAGGATGCCAACATACAGTGTGTAAATGTCCACTGAGCAGATTGACTTCACTGTCAGATTTTTCTGCCTTGAAGAAGTCAAATGGGCTAATAAATATAATTTCCACATTTTTTGCTTTTTCTATAGAGACAATGAGTACAAAAAGTGACAGAATTACAATACTATGATGATCCAAAGCTTTCCCTGGTTGACCAAATAAGAATCACCATGAGTCAGCTGGAAGTTCAACAACTTTTTGGATCTTATTCTCCACACACCACTGTTCAACAAACATAGATACCAGTGAGAGTTAGAGAAATTTGTAACTTACCACAGGTGTAGATGACATTAAGATGCTTTTGGATGCCTGGGTAACAAGGATCTCCAAACTCATAGGTGCTGGCATATATGCTGCAGCTTCTTTTCCCATGACAGCGCTTGATCATGAGCTGGAGAGCAGTAGCTGACTGACATTCTAAAAGGGAAAAACAATGCCATCTGTGAATATTTGTCCATTCACAAAAGAAACTGCTTAAAAATAATTTACCAGTTGCAGACAGTGAGAATACATACCAGATTCTCATATTTAAAAGTCTTTGTGTTTACATGAGGTGTATCTGACTCCAGCACAACTCTAATACATTGAAAGAACGCTGAAGAATCAGAAGCCCCCATATATCCATACAAAGAAGGCTGAGAATAAAAAATCTTTCATCTTTGCAACAATCACAAGAGGTGTCTCAAACACCTCTCTCTGGCCACTGTTGAAGACAAGGGTGATTAGTGTCTCTGTCTGCTCTTAGATGTTATATTTCTAAATCTAATGAAAATTACTATGAGGTGTAATAATTATATTATCATAATCTACTATATAAGTAGAAATATTGTTTTAATCACATTATCACATTAATCACATTCATTCCATGCAAGTAGAAACATTTCATATTAGAAATTTAGAGTATGGGAAGTTCCAAAAGTGTTTTCCCAAGTATTTTTCTCTACCAGGTGGTTTTGCCTATTTTCTTACCTAAGGTGAGAACAATTTGCACAGACAAAGTCTTGATCTTTTAAGTGTAAGACTGACAGTTTGCTTTCATTGTCCAGCCAGGACTAAGCTCAGGGAGAAACTCGCGAGGAGACATTTCTTCAACAACAAATTGTTCCTAAAAGGAATAGGACAACTACAGAGAATGGAATACAAACCCCTTTTGGTCACTAATTAGGAGGAAGGAAAAGGGAAAAATGGACCTCAAAAGGTACTGAGTGCTAGAACCAGCATAACAATAAAACCCATGAGAGACATGGGAAAGCCACAGAAAACCTAGCCTAGAGGGTAACATGTCTTTTTTCTGAAATCAAAGGCAGCATTTTATTTCACATGCTGCAAATGACAAAAGAAGAAGGCTCCATGCAAACATTTCCTTACTGAAAGACCCAAACTTCCTAAGGGGATTTCTGATCCAATGAGTGTCAGACATCTCAGTGGAAACATCTGGCATGCAGCAATCCTGATTCATTGTCTTTTTGCAAATGTCCAGTTAGAGAAACTCAGCAAATCTAAATGCTGCAGAGGATTTCATGGAGGGTGCCTATTCTTTTTTTTTTTTTTTGTTATTGTTCTCACACAGAACAGAGAAGATCCCACAGCTGTCCACTTAGGGGCCTTGCCCTCTGGCACAGGCGTGTACTGTGTCCATGGGAGTGTGGGGAATTACACATTGCTGGTCCTGTGGGAGGCACAACAAGGCTTTTGCATCCCACATCCCCAGAGATGGGCAGCCTTTGGGACACTCCTCATTTAGGAATATGTACGCACTAACAAACTACAGACTCTGCTCTCCACCTTAGCAGATTGAATTCACTCTTCACATGCCAAAGCTGTAGATTTATCAAATGCTTCTTGGGGTTCTGTTTGTCATATACCCTCACACTAACATTGACAGCTTCTCTAGCCATCACTAGTCATGGCCTGGTACTGATGGCCTCCTTCCTCCCACACAGTTCTGAGCAGGCCACAGTCTCCACACAAATTTGCTTTAGCACCAGCATCTGTATCAGGAAACTAAAGGGTGCTATATCTTTAATATCACTTTATTTAAGTGATACCCTGTACGTCAGAATGATTTTGCCAGCTAGCATTACTCCAAACAGGAAATACAGCCTGATATATAACAGGGCTAGTCCTAATAGTCAATTTACAGAAGGTCCCCACTGTATCTTTGGGGCTTTGAGCAACCTGGCCTAGTGGCAGGTGTTCCAGCCCATGGTAAGGGGATTGGAACAAGATGATTTTTAAGGACCCTTCCAACTCAAACCATTCCAGAACTCTGTGATCTCCCAGACTGCCTAGGAGAGTTATCTGGGCTGAGACAACATTCCATGGACCATGCTACAGTTTCACAGAGCAGATCTATTTCCAGTACCTGTGCCCCTGATACTACTCCATTACCAGTATACATGTAAGCCCAGACACCAAACTTCTTTGGGCACAGACCAGGCCACCACAGTCACAAACACCTCAATTCTCCAACTGCCAGGCTGCTCCAGCTCACCCTGCATCAGCCAAAGTGAGCAGAAGGAACTCTCTATGCTTCAATTAATTACAGGTGAAGATGAAAGGCCCTCACATAGAAAGTAGGGCATCAAGATTTTAAAAGCCTATTTTACATGGACTTTTTGCAAACTATAGGGTGAAAAAATATATCCGGGGGAAATGTTGCCTGCTGTGACTGCAGCACATAAACCATCCCATAATTTAGCTGAAAACAATATATGGAGTCTATCCACTCCAACCTCCTGCCCAAAGAACAACCAGCTATGATGTTACATCAGGTTACTCAGGAATTAGCCCAGGCAGGTTTTGAAAATCTCCACAGAGAAATATTTCCCAAACTCCTTGGACACTTGATCCTCGGCTAAGCCTCTCTCCAGGTGAAGATTTTTTTCCTTGTATGTAATCAGGTTTCTATTGCTGCAACTCATGTTTATTGCTTTTGGTGTTCATCTGCTGTTTCCTTCTGTGTGTTTCCAAAAACAGTCTTCTGTAGAACTACCTATTCCTTAGTAAAAAACATAAACTAAGATCCCACCCAGAGCTTTCTTGTGTGGAAACTGAACAGCCCTGTGTCCCTCAGTATTCCCCCATATGCTGTATTCTCCAGGCCCCTGACCAGCTTGGTAGAGCTTCACTGGAATTGCTCCAGTTTTCCAACATCTCTCTTTAGCTGGAGAACCCCAAATCGGACACTTCAGTGTTCTAGTTAAGCTGTAACAAGTGTCCTGCCCAATTTGGTACCACCTACAAACTCTGTCCCAGATCATTACTGAAGATTTCAAGCAATCTCTGGCTGCTTTTAGTGGCTGCTAGAGTGACTTCAATATAACACAGTGGAGGTTTCTTGTAGTGCCCCATTTTCTTGGCTCTTCCTGCAAACAGTCACAATTTAGGCAAGCCTTACTGTGTTCCCTGACCTCTAGACCCTAATGAACACCAGAATCTGGTGAATGCAGGAGTGGCGGAAAGTCATCTGAGGTAACCATGTTACAAGATCCATCTAAATCCTACTGACAACAGTCTCCCACATGGTAAATCCAAATACTCTTCTCATTTTCCCCATGGTATGACCTGAGCCGTTCTCTTGGAAACTCATATTTTTCTAGCCCTGAAAAAAAAGTAATGGAGTCTAGGCACAAATTCTGGCCAAGCGTTCACTTCAAAGACTTCCTTTTGCTCACAACAGGGAATTTTCCTTGATTTTGCCTCCACAAAATTTCTAAGCAAAAGTGCCTTGCACATTCCCATAAAGGTCAGGGCAAGCAGCCTGCAGTGTTTTGAGGGAGGACTACACCAACACTGAAATTAGCTTTGTATCCCATCTTGGATTTCTTGGTCTGTCAACATGTTCATCCTCCACATAACACATTGAACTGGAAAATGTAAGAGCAATCAAAACCTCCAAATGGGACCATCTTCCTAAGACACTTCAAAGGGTTTCTGATAAGGAGTTCATTTAGCTGGGTGCCAAAATGTCATATTCAAACATCTTTATGCCCTCACTAACGAGCACTGAAGATGTCAATAGTACATCTGAGAGGTGGCTGAGTGATTGATGAGACTACAGCACCTTCATAAATCACAGTCACCACTGTGTCATTTGGAGTTCTAGAAGGAACAATATGGTATTTTCTTTTACCCCTGTGTCTCAGACTTATAAAAACACTGAATTCACTCCAGCTGGATGTTATGAAGTGCAAATAGGTAATTTAACTTCCAAATGTAAATAAGTTCTTGGGGAGCTCACTGAAGTGAGAGCTCAAATTATATTAGTGGCTCTTCAGAAGGTGATTCCAGGTCAGAAGTCTTCATCTCCAGGTGCCCATCCTCAGAGCTCAGAGAGGCAAGAAAACAGAGGGGTTTTATCCATAAAATATGCAATTATCCTGCCAAAAAGATGCAGGGAAGCCAAGCCCAGCAATATGGTGCAGCAAAGTTGGGCTGTGGTCCCCTTCAGCTGGCCAAATTTGTTTTTTCCAGGTCTTCAGAAGTGGGAGACTAGACACTGCACTAAGTGTACCAGATGTCATGTTCATTCACAGCAACTTTACAGTTGGAGATGATCTTGGAGGTCTTTTCCAACCTTAATGATTTTATATTCTACAATCTCCTTTCTTCTGCTGCCTCTTTGCTTGCTAAATGCAAATTTCAAATGTTTTATGAGATACCACCCTAGCACCAGTAACAAACAAGTGACCTCATGTGTCAGAGATGTGGGAAGGACGTTCACAAATGCCAACACCGTATCACTAAGTCTGAGGTAAGTACTGCTAAGCTGAGCCAGGCCCCTGCCGAGAACCTCTTAAAGCCCACAAAGCTCAAATCCCATGGTACAGCAATAAAAACTGCTTTAAGACCTCATAGATGATAGAGAGCCCTCTTGGAGAGGTTGGGCCAGAGTTACCCTTGGCTTTCATTAGTATTGGATTGCTTCAGTACACTGCCAGAGAGCATATACGAATCCTGGCTATGGTGAAACTTTCACATGTGAAAATGTTTAAAGGCATCATCTGTGCTTTTCAAATATGGCATTTTCAGCTAAAGTGGGGCTGTGGGGGAGTAGGATCAGTTCACCTTATTCTCTTTACCTCTGGCCCCACTTTTGAGGAGTTGCATGTCCCTCCAGCCTTGCTCCTGGTGCAAGGTGAATTCCCTTTCCCAGGATCACGTCACAAATGCAGACCACTGGCAAGCTGGAATTCACAACCCTCAGTCTAAGTCCTCAGTGGGTAATTCACCTAACCAGTTGCATTTAGTATATGACTCCTTGATCTACTCCATCAGCCCAGCCTCTGTCAGGATGAAAACCCAAACCAGGGCAACAAAGCCATGATGGAGGATTTTACCAGCTGCAGCTTGCAGACCGCGTTGGCTTTAAAACTGGAATTGGTCTCGGTGATGTAATGTCCATATCATCAATC